AAATGTTCCTTTGCAGCTGAGCAATGTGATTGAGGCTACTTTGGCAAGCAAACACTATTTTCTTTACAAAGTCTCCAAAATCCTCCTAAATGAAGTTGGATAGCTCCCCAATATATTTCTAGGTTTTTAAAGTTTATCGGGGAAAAAAGTAAAAGTTCTAGTCTAAAAATATAACGTTATGCCACTCCGGTTTTTAAAGGTCAAGGTATGGGTATTTTTAGAGGTAACGCACTTTACAAGACATTACCAAAAATTAGCTTTCATCTGTTTTAGGTCATCTTCCTGATAACCTGGTCATCCAAATGGCCCAAAAGTCATTTAATCGGAAAGAAAAATATTCTTAACGCTGATTATCTATTCGCTTAAAAAACTTTAATAGGTTTGTAATCGGCTTAAATTTGCCATGTACAGCAGTTAGTATTAATGCGAACGCACATGTTTAAACTTTAATAAAGTCAAACGGGATAACAATGTCTCCTAAACCTTCCGTTGCCCCACCAAAAAAAAACTGTTAGCTTCTGCTTTACGGATGACAACATTTTGAAAACGATAACTGACAGTTGGGCGGAGGCTAATGGAGGTAAGGAGGTGGAGATTGTCATTAAAATGTTTCCGTTGTCACCAAACAACAGCAGTGGGCCCGTTGTCAGTCGCCGCTGCTAATCAGTGAAGATGCCGAAAGGTATTCATATGCAAAACAGAGAGACGTCGCCCTCATTATTCATTGCAAATGGCAAACGGAAGGGATACCATGCATGTTTGGAAAGGGCCGAAACTTTAGCGGCGCTTAAGGTAAAATATAATCAAAAGCCGTGAAAACATTTTTACACGTCATTAAACTCAAATTCAACAAACCATGGCAGCGTATGTTACAGCTTTCCATGGATCGCACACACACATTTATATAGAATCAGATGCCTGACGGCGAATCTCACAGATACACTCCCACAAGGAGACTTCTCACAAGCTTGCAAAAGATTGATGTGGCCCGGTTGCATTAATAAATTAAAGCTCCAACGAAATTCAAGGGAAGTCCTTGGTCCTGCAGTTAGTTTTAAGCAAACACGTATAATTAACGTGTAATGATAACACCCACACTTCGCCAACAAATATGAATAATGACTTTTCGTCAAGTTTCGTGAAAGTGTACAAACATAAAGTTAGATTATGTGTATTTGTAGAAATTGAATCTAATTTCATATAGCAAACTAATTAAATTCATTTTCAAGTAGTCGAGGTAAATCAAACCAATTTAATATCCAGTTTAAAGAACAATTCCCTGGGGACCGGGCCATGATCCATAATTCTTTGAATTATTAATTTGTAAGCTTTTGCCCAGCAGAAAAAGAGTGACCCAAGGCTTTTGATTTGGCCTGTGGGTCAGTGAAGCACAAGTAATAGGGTGGTGCGAGGGTGGTGCCCCAGTCCTCTTCCCCACATGTGCTTGCACGCTTGAGTGGGCATTATCAGACCCAAGTAGCTGAGGGCAACATTATTAAAAAGTCCGAAAAAGAAACCTCAGCAAAAAGATAAAAAAATATTGATTGAAAATCACATGCATATTGCATTAGTTTTCCAAACCATTTTCCTGCTTTTCGTCGCGGGAGTCTCAACTTTCAACGACTTTGACTTCAAAATTGACACAAAGCTTATTATTCTTGCTACCCAGACAGGCAATTTGTCCAACTGTCAAAAGCAAAATGCTATAACAATACATTTTTATACCCTTGCAGAGGGTATTATAATTTCAGTCAGAAGTTTGCAACGCAGTGAAGGAGACGTTTCCGACCCTATAAAGTATATATATTCTTGATCAGCATCACTAGTAGAGTCGATCTAGCCATGTCCGTCTGTCCGTCCGTCTGTCCGTCCGTTTATATGCAAACTATCATAGTTTCTCAGTTTAAAAGCTATCTGCATGAAACTTTCCCAAAAGTTGTCTTTCTATTGCAGGTAGTATATAAGTCGGAACGAGCCGGATCGGACGACTATAGCATATAGCTCCCATAGGAGCAATCGGAAAAATAAATAAAAATAAATTATAACTTTGGTGTTTTTTAATTTTTTGTTTAGTTCTTCAAGATATAGTAATGGTAAAATATTTCCTATTTACGTTTTAAATTTCATCAAAATCGGACGACTATAGCATATAGCTCCCATAGGAACAATCGGAAAAATAAATGAAAAAAAATTATAACTTTTCTGTTTTTTAATTTTTTGTTTAGTTCTTCAAGATATAGTAATGGTAAAATATTTCCGATTTACGTTTTAAATTTCATCAAAATCGGGCGACTATAGCATATAGCTCCCATAGGAACATTCGGAAAAATAAATGAAAAAAAAATTATAACTTCGGTGTTTTTTAATTTTTTGTTTAGTTCTTCGAGATATAGTAATGGTTTAAGATTTCAGAATTATGGTTTAAATTTCATCAAAATCGGACGACTATAGCATATAGCTCCCATAGGAACAATCGGAAAAATAAATGAAAAAAAATTAAAACTTTTCTGTTTTTTAATTTTTTGTTTAGTTCTTCAAGATATAGTAATGGTAAAATATTTCAGAATTACTGTTTAAATTTCATCAAAATCGGACGACTACAGCATATAGCTCCCATAGGAACAATCGGAAAAATAAATGAAAAAAAATTATAACTTTTCTGTTTTTTAATTTTTTGTTTAGTTCTTCGACATATAGCAATGTTTAATTATTTCAAAATTATGGTTTAAATTTTATCAAAATCGGACGTCTATAGCATATTGCTCCCATAGAAATAATAAAAATATATAAAATAACTATCTAATAATTGAGCTGAAAATCATCATAGTTTCAATGTTTTTCAGCATATACTCGAGTAAATCATAATTTAAATGTTTTCAAAAGTATTTAATTCATGCTATAGCTGCAAGGGTATATGAACTTCGGCTTGCCGAAGTTTGCTTTCTTTCTTCTTTTTTACATTCAAAATCAAACCAAACTGTTGTGTTTTAAGCTTCCTGACAAACGGAATAAAGGGAAAAGGTGGCTAACTGTCAGTTTCTCTCTCTAAGTAGCATTACTTTTTTTTTAAAATTTGGCTAGATCGACTCTCCTAGTGTTGCTGATCATGAATATATAAACTTTATAGGGTCGGAAATGTCCTTCACTGCAAAGGTACCATGAGTATGAAATGAGTAAAAAATTTAGTATTTGCCTTTCACCGCACTTTCTCCTGAACCAAAGAATTTTCTAAGTATAGGTAGTTTTAGTGACATTTTTTGATTGGTGTATTACTCCTTACGATCGGATTAACACAGCCGATTTTCAATTCTGCGGCTATATAGTAGTCTCTTATGCACACACTCTTTGTTCGCATCGTCACTACATGTACTGCCGTTCATAGTGATAATCTCTTTTATTTTATAATTTCTTTGATTCGTCAATTTTCGACAAGATTCTTAGGGTATTATTTTTTGTTGCCCTAAATTACACTATCAGTCAAATTGAGTCGGGGGCTATCAGCTTAAAGCAGTTGCCACTTCTAACAAAATTCCCTAAATGTTTTTACAAGTTAATTAGAGGCAACCAAACTAATTAACTCACCCAAAATGTTTGATGCTTGACAAAAAAAAATTGACTTTATCAACTTGGTGGCCTGTACAATTGTACAGGCCTTGTCCTTGGCTGTGTTCGTGTGGTGAAATATTTGTATAATTATATCGAAAATAAAACTTATAAAACGTCTATATTTGAATTAGTGATGCATACCTTTATTAATACACATTGCGCTGGCATAGGCAATTATTTTTTGGAAACTGTCGCAGCTGGCCGACGGAGTTGTTGAAAAAATCTGTTTATCGCTGCCATAATATTGGGTTGACTTTCCTCTTTTTTTTTTTATTTATAATTACCAAAATTATAAAGGCAAATTTTATGCTAATGACGGGTCAGCATGTTGTTCCTCCAATAATGGAGTTGCTGCCAATTAACACGCCATGCACACACAAAAGTCCGCCCATTCAAACCCATACATGTAGAAAACCGAAACAGATTTCCGCTTCCGTTTTGCATTATGCGCTCCATGGAAGGACTCGTGATGACGTCTTCGCCACACATAAGTTATTGCAAATTGTTTGCATTTAATTGGGTGACTGAGTTCGTGTGTCCTTGCTTATTGTTATGCATAATTCATAGGAGCGTGTTTGGAAGAGTATTCTCGGTATCTGAATGCATTCGCTCTAATTAACTGCAACTCATCAGCTTGTTTATCCTATGGCCAAACAACGTCCCGTGTGATGTACGGTTTAAGAAATGGGTCAGCTGATGGGGTCTAATGGTGATGCGCAAGAAATGACAAATGGGTTGTTAGATGGATATGTTCGTTTGAGAATCATCCAAAGCAAAATTAAAGTAAAATATCAGCAAAAAACTAAAGCTAAATATAAACAAGAAAGGACGCAAGCTGATATCGTTTTCCGATATACATAAAATTAAAAGTGGAAATTTGACCTGTAAAATTATTAATAAGTCAAAAAGAATTAAAAAAAAAAAAATATCAAAATATGTATTTTATTTTAAAAAAAAATTGTATTAATATTTTTATTGGTCCCATGGCAGCTTTATAATAATACCCTCTGCAAGGGTGTAAAATAATAATTAAAATTTATTTCAAAACCTTAATTTAACAATTCTATTTTGTAATTTTTTTTTTAAGTTCTTTTTGACTTATTAATAATTTGACAGTTCAGAATTACGTTTTTAATATTATAAAATCGAAAAACGATATCATATAGGAACTATCGAATTATTAAGCTGCATATCTTCAATGTATTTAAACATATACGCAAGTAAATCATAATTTTATTGTTTTCAAGAATATTTAGTTTTTGCAATAGCTGCAAAAGTATATAAACTTCGGCTTGCCGAAGTACATTAGTACATCGCAAAACAAACAAACAAAGAAGTGTCAAACATTAAACAAATACATATACATATAAGCTTTCAATTATACAGCAGGCCAGTCAACAGAAGTTCAAAATCAGAGAGTTTTAGAGTGATTCGAAAACCTGTTTCTATAATGAGTGCCACAAAGTCGGGTTGTAAACAGCGCAGCGAGACAGAGTGTGTATACGGTTGGATCACCGATCTTTGCAGCAAGCAATCGCGCCTGTTGGCCATGTTGGAGCTCTGCGAAAGACGCAGCCACATCGAGAGCCTGGGTCCCTTGCTGTGGCATTCTTTCGGAGCTGTAAGTGGCTTGCTGCAAGAGGTTGTGTCTATCTATCCGGCTATCCTGGCCAACGAGCTGAACGGACAGCAATCGCAGCGGATTTGCGCTGCCATCGGATTGTTCCAGGCCATGACCTCCCACCCCTTTATTGGCATTGAGCTGATGCGCTGCCAATTCTTATGTTATCTGATTCCATTACTTAAATTGACCCCACAAATTAGGACCGTTGAACATGTTCGCCTCTCAGTTTTGGGCGTCGTCTGCGGTCTACTGAAGTCGGATCATCCGCAGATCGTGGGTTACTTTCTGGGCACCGAATTGATTCCACTTATCCTGCGCCAACTGGAATTGGGTTCCAGTATGAGTAAGGTGCTATGTGCATTTGTCTTGTGCCGCATCTTGGAACACGAAGTGGGCCTGACGTTTGCCAGCCGCAGATTGGCCCGTAGGCTGCATCTAATTCACACTTTGGCAAGGGTCGTGCACCAATTGACGCTGGAACCAGAGCCTAGAGTTCTTAAACATGTGGTTCGGGTCTATTCCCGTCTGGCTGATCATCCCGAAAGTTTGCAGCTAATCTTCAAGCACCTGCCGGCGCAGCTTCGAAACGGCTATTTCTGTCAGGACAGTTTGCTGGGCTTCGAGAACGCCTCTCTGGAACTGGCTGATCTGAACCGAAAGCTGGTCAACAGGGACGTGAAAAACGACACAGGTATTAACTCCATAACTACCGAGATCGTTATCTCACACCATTCACTTTTTTAGCTCGTAAGGAATAAAACGCTGCCTGGATATAATTTACACCTTGGCAATTCAACCCAGACAATTCGATTTACCAATATATGCTCATGACCACCCAAATACTTTATCTGGTGCGAAAAATTTGACTTGCAAATTCATTTTTTTGCTTGGTTTTTGGGGTTGAAGAATTTAAATGGGTTTGCTGGGAGCATCAAGTTTGCGTAATACAATAAACAGATCGTAAATATTTTGATACCAATTTTCCAGCGTAATTGACTCAACGGTACTTGAGTGTCAAACAATAAATTCAATTACCAATCCATAGCCCCAAAAATAATAGCACTTTCCATTGGGCATAACCCTTTACAGAACAAACACACAAGGCAGTTACGCTTAACCGTACCAAACACGTGCAGTGGCTCGGCATTTTGACATGAATACACCGAAAAATGTTCGGAGAGACAAAAGCTTGAAGCAAAAGCTGGAGTTAGATACTGATGTTAGCCAAAGCAAGCGGAAAGCCATTTTATAAGAGGAACTCAAGGGAATAAAAAGAAAGGCAGCACTCGAGCAAAAAATTGGGACTTTAGGTATTAAAGTGGATCCCGCAACAGCAAAATAAAATGTAATATAAAATTTAATAATTGCATAAATGACTAAACCTATATTATAATTAAAAAATTACCACCAAAAAGGTAATAAGAGTAAAATAATAAGTGAATAACCCCAAGTCATTTAGTGGTTCGTTTACGGGTCACAAATTTAAATTTAATTTTAGCTGAATGGAAAAAAAAATGGGCAAATGGGTATAACAGGGCATCAACAGTCCGCACTAAGGGCTACAACAATGACGGTTAAACAATGCAAAATCAATTTAAATTTTTATCCCAGACACGACGCAATGGATGAGAAAATGCCACGGAAAAGGGATACAAACGCACACAAAATGGGTGAAAAAATCAGTGGAGCAACCGCAATCTCTTACCAAATTGTTTCGAGGATTGCCATTGCCTTTTTTCCACTCTGCATCAGCTTTGCCACGCAACTCAATCATAAGTAAATATCTGCCTCACACACACGCACGTCGAAATAAAGAAAAACAAGAAAGAAAGCAAACTTCGGCAAGCCGAAGTTCATCTACCCTTGCAGCTATTGCAAGAATTTAACATTTTCGAAAACATTAAAATTATGATTTACTGCGTATATGTTTAAAAGCATTGAAGCTATGATGATTAGCAGCTCAATTATTTGATAGTTATTTTATATATTTTTATTATTTCTATGGGAGCTATATAATATAGACGTCCGATTTTGATAAAATCTAAACCATAATTCTGAAATATTTAACCATTGCTATATGTCGAAGAACTGAACAAAAAATTAAAAAACAGAAAAGTTATAATTTTTTTCATTTATTTTTCCGATTGTTCCTATGGGAGCTATATGCTATAGTCGTCCGATTTTGATATAATTTAAACCGTAAATCGAAAATATTTAACCATTACTAAGTGTCGAAGGACTAAACAAAAAATAAAAAAACAGCAAAGTTATAATTTTTTTCATTTATTTTTCCGATTGTTCCTATGGGAGCTATATGCTATAGTCGTCCGATCCGGCTCGTTCCGACTTATATACTACCTGCAATAGAAAGACAACTTTTGGGAAAGTTTGATGCAGATAGCTTTAAAACTGAGAGACTAGTTTGCGTAGAAACGGACGGACAGACAGACGGACAGACTGACAGACGGACAGACGGACGGACGGACGGACATGGCTAGATCGACTCTACTAGTGATGCTGATCAAGAATATATATACTTTATAGGGTCGGAGATGTCTCCTTCACTGCGTTGCAAACTTCTGACTGAAATTATAATACCCTTTGCAAGGGTATAAAAAGGAGAGAAAAAGTGAACCTTATTATGCCCCCGGGTAAAATATAAACGAAATGTAGAGCGGGGGGAAAGTGGGAGGCGGTTTGGCAGGCGAGACACGTTCTAATAGATTTTTCAGCCTTTTGACGCTGGGCAGGCCGTACAAGTTACACATGTTGCTGTTGCTTGGCTTCCTGTCGTACACACTCATGAACAGAAGGAGTCCCAAACACAGACCTATGTTCGTAAAAATATATAAATCTTATCTAGGTCATAAACCTTATAATAATTTTCATTTACTCTTTTGCTCAAAAATAGGGACTCATGTTAAATATAAAGTTCAATTGCTTAAACTAGAAGAATCAATCAATTTGAATTATAGCCAATAAAGTAACTTTTTCTTTTTTTTCAGTGTGCTAAATTCAGCAGACAGAATTCTGCCACAATTTACGGCCGTAAATCCTTTATTAAATTTTTGTCGCGATAAGCGCGTCACAGATTCAAAATCCGAAAAAGGATTTTAAGGCACAAATCGGCAGCCGTACAGCATATAAACCTGGCCATATGCAAATGCTGGCAATTGACTGGCAAGCAAATCCGAAAATTATGCCATTGGCGCTCCACGAACAACAATGAAGGATGAACAGAGCCGTCGCAATCCCAGTCGAAGCTGCTGCTATTGACAGGAGGGAAATCTGACGAAGATAGCCAGCGGGTGGTGGATAAAACGAGAAACAGGATGAGAGCCAGAGCCGGAAGCTGGCACACAACTAATTGGACATCCGTTGTCCCCGCCGATTATCGACTTTGAACCAGGACAAGGGCAAGGTAAAGGTAACTCAAGTATTCTTTCCTGCTGCTACGTTTTCTGTCACTGCTCTGCAGTAAGTTTTGCGCCACGTTATTAACACCAGATTGAGTTAAATGGCGAAGTCCGTAAAAGGAGAAGGTGGGCTAAAAGGTCGCCATGACTGCCAGTTGACGGTGGGTCGCTCTATTTCGCTGCTAACTCCCTCCATGTAAGTTGGGGCACAAAAGAACCTGGAACGCTCGAATTGCCAGAGTCGTTTATTTAATTGAAGCAGATTACCCAGCTGGTGACTTCAGACCAGACCGCCAGCTGGACGGCCTCATTAGATCGATCCATGTCCGTGTTCACGTCCGCTTATCAAAGTTGGTTTGGAATGGCGACGCTAAAGACGTCTGTTCAAACCAACAGACAAAGAAAGCACCTAAGAAGGAAATACAAATTAATTTTAAAAACCGAACCAAGCCACTTAATAAGTTAGTAACACATGTGCCAAAATTTAATAGAATCGGATTTAGTAGAGTCCACAACAAAGCTTGATTAAGATCAATGGGATTGTCAGGGCTTCCACGTCAAAAGTTTTGCGACGGCAACCACTTCAAACCGCCTTTTAAGTGGTGTAGCACTGCCTATTTGTCACCTGCCTGTGGCTCAATGCTCCACCCTTCTTGGTGATTCATTAGCCACCCGCATTTGTCTGTTGACCCGCTTTATGCTGAGAACTTTTAAGCTAAATTAAGTTTTGATAATTCCTTATAATCTATTCAAGCAAGTTTTCAAAAATGCTTGTTCACTTTGCTGTCGCACTAAGTGGTTTAAATGGGGTGATTTGTGGTGGCTTGGCGCGGAGGCAAGGGATTCAAATGAAGTTGAGGTGAGCTTTTGTCGTCCGCTTCGCCCCCTTTCCTTCAGTGCGAATTGAGTTTTGAAATTTTCTTAGATTTGAATTGTTAGATAGATGGCGACTTATTAGATCGGAATACACAAATCCAAACTCAAAAGTTTTGCGGCGCCTCCGCTAGTATGCACTGTGCAAACAAGGGTAGTAGGATAAAATACTATATTGTTATTTATTTATTATTGTCGTGACGACATATACAAATAAAAGAACAAGTTCTTAGACTATCAAAAGCGAAAAAAGTTTTAAAATTTTCCACATTCATTTAATGACCTTTTCTAGCAGTGTAATTGTTTTGAACAACTTTTCTGCCAGCAACTATTGTTGAAAAGTTTTCAATTGAGTATATTAATTTAGCCAATACACGTGGGCAAAGGAGCTGAGGGAAAGAAAAACAAACGGTAAAAGTTTTGTGGTTGCACAGCTCGAAACCAAACCAAAAAGAGGCGGAAACCGGTGGTAGGGCGTTCCAGATATGGTGAGCTATATGGGATGTTCATCCTCGACTTCAGGGCGACGAGGTGCCGTCATAATATGGTGTTTGTGGCGCACTTTCTATTAGGCAAGCGGAAGTATAATAAAGAACAGTCGCTTTCTACCACCCACTTGCTGCCCCACTCAGAGCCTTACACTCCCGGGGACAACCACTCAGCGAAGCACACGCACTTTGGGAAAATTAGCTGCGTGTCCAACCAAGTTGTCCATGGGCCTAGTATTATTGTGACGAAATGAAATGGATCTTCGTATTCAGTGATTGCAAATATTCTGAATACAGTAAGAAATGCGGCCAGTTGTCTCTTTAACTTATCTTCAAAAAAAAACAAAAATTGAATTTAGTTAATAAGCAAAAAAATTTGGCTTGTCAAGTTATTTGATGTAATATTTGTTTTTGTTAAATTATTATCCTTATTAATAACATCCATTTCTTTCAACTGTCTAAACATTTGAATTTAAAAATGACTGCAAATAACTCGATTTAAACAAAATCCATAAGGTTTGGTTTCTGTGTGTATATGAGAGAAATGCAGAACGGATCTTGTTAAGCCGCCAGGCACATGGCACGGTCTCCAACCCGTGTTCACCTGCAGGGAATTAGCATGCAAAACCGAACCCCACCCGAAAACACACCGTCTATGAGTGGGGGTCAGGTTATGAACATTGCGCTCATCATTGATGGCCGCCGGCTAAACTGGCGGATGGCAGACGGCAGCTGTTCGAGTGCCCATTTCGTCCCCACCCACGCCTTTGGAGATGTGTCCGAAAAATGTTTTCCCCGGCATCTGCATGGTAAAACGGCAACATGGTGAGGTGGTCATCGTAAGCTCGGAGTGTTGTACTACACTCAAAGTCCATTCAATCACAAAAGCAATGACAAACTTGGGATTTGATTTTTGTTTAATTAAAATTGTCCTCCTACAAAAAGTACGAGTGGAAAGGGAAATTCTTTATGATCACCTCAACGTCGTAACCCCTATTTAAATGAAAATTTTTTTCACTGTAAGCGCACATTCTTTTTAATCACACACACATTTACCCGAGTCAAAGGAAGTTGAAAGCCTGGA